CCTTTATCATAGTGCGACGATCCAACTCATTATGATATTATATATATATTCTTTCACACAAGTCGACGTCCTTTCAGTTACTGAGCAACAGTGGCTGTTTCCTTACAATGGGATGAAACAATAGAGAATGCGTGTGTCTACCTTTTAAGGGGCTTTAACTTGTAATTGCACTAAGCCGGAGGGAATGGTGTCTCTTTCATTTTAATCACTGCTGCAGACAGCACTGGCAAGATGCATCCATCCTATGGTTAATGGCACATTTAAAACATGATTTTCCCCTCGGCCTATAAAACATTTCCATATAAAGTCATAAATTCACTATGATTTAGGTCGTCTATAGTACTTTCCTACGGCCTAATAAGCCTATGATTTACTTGGATTTATTAAAATATCAGGTTTATGAAGGGTACACTGAATTACTGGATTGGGAAAATTTAAGGCTTTGGCCTGTTTTTAATGTTGAATTAATGTTAGGTTTCCATTTGAGAAAACCACACATGACCTCATGCAAACCAACCAGTAGGTGGATCTGAAAAGCGAGCATTTAGTTTTCCTCTCCTCAGAGTCCTCTCCCATTTCTTACCACTTTGTTAAGATGCTTCTGTGCCAAATTGAATCGTTTTTTTTTACTGGTATTGATCGGCAGGTGGCGCCATTCATTCGTAATTTCATAAATAATTTGAATTAATCTTTTATAGTATGAGACGTTCAATTGCCAGTATTAATATATATTTTTTAAAATTGATAATTTTTTTGACTGAAAATAAAACACCTAAGCCAACATCATACATACAAAGACCAATTTAACCCCCCAATATCACCATAAATTGTTTTTTTTTTTAAAAGAATGTATTAAAAAAAAATAACTTTCCCACATCACTTAAAACATTTTTGATAATATGCATGTGGCTTAAGAAAATCCTAGATATTTAACAGCTGATGCATGTATTTACTAAAGAAGCAACTTGATATTTTGACTTTAAAAATCTGTAGACACCATCACCAAACACATACAGTCATGCCCATCTGATTTGCATACACCATCCACACAGGTGTCAGGTGTTCCACAGGTGGAAAAAACAGAGAAGCCTTACATGGGGGTGGCTGTGTTGCTTTGACACAGATTAATCTCAACAGTCTGACCTTTAGAATGGGCCAGTTTCTGTTATACTTTAGCCGCAAAGAAAACAAAATGCAGTGTAACCAGGATGCATACAATAAAAGTCATCAAAAATCTTGGCTCAGCAATCTGTAAACATGGTGGGATACCAGCCCCATGTCACATATTGTCCTGGTTTTCAGCATCATCTTTGACTAAATCATTTGTTATAAAAATACAATGAAAACCGTTTAAAAAAAGAAATGTGTTTATTAGTGTCATAGCAGAATGATTACATAAACATAAAAACAATTTCTCATTTAACACATTTATTATAAAAAAAATATACATAAAGCCTCAATTTGGGATTATTCCAGTAAACTGATTGTGTTTATTCTGAAAATGTAGCATATGCTGATGGAAAATAATCTCTGCACAACTTTTATATATATCCATATACATTTTCTACTCAGATGGATATTATAAAGGAAGGAACAGTATAACATGCATTGTGTAAGCTTATAGAAATGAGGATTTCGAGGATCAAACACGTTATTAAGAGTTGTCATTATTTGGTCAGTATTTTCCGTAAACATTGACCTGAGGAATTCTCTGAACTCTGGTCGATTATTTAGTGCAGTGACTTAATATCAGAAAAGTGGTGAGGCACATTGAATGTGGGCAGAGAGGGTCAAACAAGTTTGTTGTCCCTCCCCTGTTCTACTAAACAAATATTTGTACTAAGGCCATGTAGCCTGTTGATCTGCATGTGTTTCCTTTAAAAACACTTGTGTTTGCACTTGGTAGATCAGGTAGCTTGTGGGGGTGCCATGTTTCAGTCCTCCAAAGAGCTTCTATTGAAGAGTTCAAGAATTAAAAAGGCTCTACTGTAACAACAACTGTATCTTACTCATGGCACAAATGAAAAAATCTATATCAATTGAGAAAACTACCCCGACCTCGTCAACCCCTCACTGGTGCTACCCACGTGATCTGTACAATACAAGTACTTGGTCGTAAGCACTTTGGTCGGCTGATCAATAACAGCATAAAGACTGACTTCAGCATGAAGTGTATGAAATATATGAAAAAGTAGAAAAGGAAAGGTGAATATGTAGTGGTATCCTAAAGTGTGGTTCATGTTCCCTTTGCCCTACAGTCTGATTCCTTTCTGATTGATCACAACAAGAATTTCAGCTAATTCAGTTAATTGATTGAATTCCCAAATTCCCTAGTTTTTCTCCTTTGATTACAATGCACAATTGGAAGGCCAGGATGCTCTTGCATTGAGACAATTGAAATTTTGCAGACTTGCAGAGTGCCAATTAATTGTGTTTAGAAGTGTCAAATAAGACCAAACAAGGTGGTCACTGGTGCTATTTGTGACAAGTGTAGTTTTTTTCCCTCCATTCATTGCCTCTTTATCATCAGAGAACTGTGTTTTAAGTGATATCCCTATATGTAAGTAGACTCTCAAAAACAACACATGGAAAAGCACAAAACACTGTTTGTTTCAATTCCTCTGAGGCAAGTAACTCAAAAAATAGTCAAAAGAACCACTGATTGAAATGCGCAGCTTCTCATGACTAAATTTTGCTATTTTCAAGGTGACAGATGAGTCAAGAAAAGCACAACGACTCAAATACACTGCACAGCTCTTCCCACCGCGCAACTATCATGCATTATTAATTCAGGATTTTCCTCTTGGACATGCTGTCAGCTGTGCAACCAATTCAGGAAAAAGTATTGAAAACATGGATCATCTGCAGTATGAAAGTCACTTCAGCAGAGTGCCAAGAAAAAAGTACGGTTAAGACACTTTGATTTAAAAAGGCATGGATCTAATGAATTACTTTTTTAAATAAATGTGTGTGAGAGACCGAGAGAGAAAAGGAGACAGACTCATTCTTAAATTCAGCGTAACAAACAATTTGAAGGCAGTATTTGGGCTTCCTTGGCCATCTCTGTGAAACTGCAGTTGAATGATTGGCTGATGGTCTCACTCTGAACAATTTGATACACTATTGCTTTGGTGCAAGAGAACGATTGGCTGGAAAGTGGCTCACATTTTGTTGAAACACTCCTTAGCATTGGACCACACCTGGATTCCCTGAGACAGAGAAAAGAAGCAATTTTGAAACAAAGACAACAAATAATGGAGCTGCTGAACAATCAATCACAAATTGTGTCCTTTTTAAGTAGGCAAGTATACAAGAACAAACACAAACTGAGAAGAAAAAGAAGACAAAAGAACCCCATACCTTCTTACACATGCTGATCTGCATAATGGCGTAGCTGATTAGTGCTTCACGCAAATCTTTGTCCTTCTGCTCCTTAAAACGTTCAATGTCTTCCCAGGCTGTTTGCACAAACTCTCTGAAGACACAATCACAAACAAAAACCAAAACATGCTATTTTCAGTCTATGAGGAAGAGTAGGCATGAAGGGGGAAGAACGTACACTGTAGAGGAAGAAGAAACTGAACAAACAATGTGGTAGTTGGCTTGCTCCTGATTTATGTTTTTATGATACTTCCTGCTTTTCTTTATTGATGCAGGTGGCTTTTCTTTTCAAAATGACTGAATAATATTACGTCTTTTAAATCGTACGCAGTGACTGACTTTGACTGTGTAACTCCATCCACCACTTTTGGAAAAACTAATCAGGTATCTGTTTTCTTGTTATTGATAATCATGTCTGAACAGCAGCAACCACTTCGGTTCCAAAGTTGTGGTGGTGATACATACTCCATGGGTTAAAAGAATAAATCAGTCAACATCCAAATTAAAGATTGATTTATTGGTGTTGTATAGCTTACTTGCACTCTGTGTTCTTCTCCATGACCGTTTCCTCTCCCTCCTGGATACTCTGATCCAAGGCTGCCAACCGACTCTCCCTCTGCTCCTGACTCTCTTGGCCGAACAGTTTACTGGTCATCCCCTTCAGTGAAAAGACGCGCACTGTCTGCACACACACATTCATAAAGACACACAGACACACACGAGTTAACTGATGTTTTCATCAAATTGGACCACTAAAATGTTTTAAAACACCTAATTCTGCTGATTCATTTTTTTGAGCTCGACAATTTGGACAACTAACTTGGCATAGCGAGTGTGTGTGTGTGTATAGCACTTGTGTATTTGCCCAGGATGTGTAGGAGAAAGTGAGATATAGTGACATAACAAGTGTGTGAGTCCTAGTGTGTTACCCCAGTAGCCAGCTCTTCTTTCTGTTGCTTCTTATGGGCGAGGTCCTGAACTGCCATCTCCAACTCATACTGGATCAACTCGTGTTTCCTGCATACTGACCTTAATTCACAAATGGACAATTGTTTTAAAATTTTATTTAAAAAATGTAAAAATTTGTAATTCTAATCCATTTTTTTCCTACCCATATAGTGTTATTACAACAAACAGACATTATGCTTCAACTACTGCTAATAATAAAGTTAGACATAACTGATTTCCATCCAGTCGAGGAGCCAAACATAAGTGTTGGTTAACAACTACAGGTCTGCATTATGTGCTCTGCTCGAAGACGGTGGTTTAAATAAGCAAATAAGCATTTGCGTTGGTGCTGCTGCATGTTGTTTTGAATGAGGATAAAGACAAACATGAGACAGAAGCAGAACAAGTGAGTGCAGCTTTGAAAAAATTAACAATGACCAATGCCCTGAACCAGGAGGGGGAATATATACTATATGCATATGTAGGGCGGCAGTAATTATTATTTTCATTATCAATTCATCTGCAGCATGTTTTCATGATTAATAACTGTCTATAAAACATAAGAAAACAGTGAAAAATCCACATTCTATGATACAACGCGACACCATCAAATGTCTTGTTTTGTGTGAAAAGCAGCAGATTCTCACATTTGAGAACCTGGAACTGCCAAATGTTTGGTATCTCTACTTGTAAATTATTCAGCTAATCAAAAACCCTCCAGCAGGATTCATATATTTACACTGTATGATGCCTTAATGTCAATTCTATCGGTCTTTCAATCCTGATAGGACCATCAGCCAAATTCACTAATACTGCGTTGTTAGGCCCGATAAAGGTATGTGTTTCCCCTTTTTAAAAACACATAAAAAACACTTACCTGACAGCCTCAGTGTAGAACAGGTATTCTTTCAGCTGGTCAGCATAGTGCTCCTCCTCCTCAAGAATGTCATCTATTGATGCAGCATACCTGTGCACATATGAAGCATTCATAAGCAAAAAAAAAGAATGTGTGAGAATGTGTCTAAGTTAGTAGTTTAACGACTGGTCTATTACTGCTTTAGCAAACACATTAAAGTATTAGCTAAACTTTGAGTATATGAGAGGGTACACTAGTTGGAGATCATCTTTAATCTACTACTTACGTGTCCATGTGGTGGCCAGCACTCTGTAGGCCATCTCCCATCTCTTTTTCTATAGCGCTCCACTCACTGGAGACACAACAATGAAATGTGTCAATCAAACATGGTGCTTTGTGTGTCGCCATTTGCACATAAATGTATTCAAAAATGGCTGATCATCCGTGTTTATAAGCTAAGCATCACAAGCATACAATTTATCTGTATACTACATGTAAAATAAGTGTACCTCTATTTCCTTATGCCATAAAATGTAAGATTTTTTGCGTGATTTACAATATGACACAGCTTACATGTTTCTATAAGCAACTGTGTAGATCAAAGGTAGCTGGATAAACCAAATGACATTTAATTGCAACTTATTTTGTTTAAATCTAGTGCCCTCTTTTAGGGAAAAACTATTATTTTATTCATGTAGAAATGCAGTTACATGTTTCTATGTATGTTTCTCACCTAAAAACTCTGCCGTAGTTACCGTGGACCTTGTAAACACCATACAGCCTGTCTGCTACTCTCTAGAATAAAGACAATGAAATCAGCCATGAACAGTTACATAATTTAAATAATACGTTGCTATAAATAAATAAATAAAAAAGCCAGAAAAATGAATCCAGAACAGTACTGGTTCATAAATAAATGTAGGAAGTGCTCGCACAAGCTGACTGTGCACTATTTGCCCAGGACAAAATGGCAGAGAGCAGAAGTAATTGATGAAGAAAGTCAAAAAGAATCTAGCAATTTTCTCAGGAGTTAGCAGACTGAATGTCAGTGAAATATGGACAACCACGTTATACAATGCAGTATGCCAAACACGTAAACCACTGGCCAGAACCTAGGCAGACATTTAAATATAGGCGTGTGTGTGTGTGTGTGTGTGTGCACATGCCAAAACTCACCGCCCGCACCCTGAGTAACTGAGAGATGACAGTGTTCAGTTCATCACTGTACTGTTTCAGTGCTGTGAATCGCCTGAAGAACACAAGAAATGGATCATAACTACAACAGTGTTTAAATGAACCGAAGCAACTGTATTTCAGTTTGTATCTAATTATGATACCTCTTTACTACCTTTTTGGTCACTGTAATCATTCATTTTTAATCCAGTCCACTCATTAAAAACTCTTAAGAAAGTAACTGACTAAATCTCCTGCTTAGTATAAACCCTAGCAAAATTGGCAAACTAATGAAAAGTAAACTTTATTTTTGGAAAAAGCAACCTGTCTGTTATACACCTACTTGTCAGGGTTCTTGACTCTGAACATGGCACTCAGAGACTTTAGTCTGGAGTCCACCTGGTAGGGAACAGAATTACACACACATTAAGGGAGACTTTTTTTGCATAGAGTAGAAGCTATGAAGAGGTAGACGTTAGTTAACAACTAAATTCTCAGTAAAGTGACTCAGCTGGTCCCTCCTGCTAAATTGATTGTACTTGCCAATGTACTATGCAACTTGCAAAGTGTACTAACTGCATACCTTGTCTTGGAAGCCTGTGTCCAAAACCTCTTCCCTCCATCCCTTCTCCTGAGGACAGATGACACATGACAGACAGGATTATGAAGTATACTCTATAACAATGGGGCTTTCCAGCAGACAGTTGCGCTACAATAAGACACAACAGGGGGCTACGCTGAAATGAGCATGCTGCTACAAATCCAGAAATTCAGTTTAAAAGGTGCATCAAATGGCAAGACTCTGCAAGAATGGAAATAATTATGATTAATGGTGTCATCGCAGAGGCCTCCCGCCAAAAAACGGTTCAGCCTCTATTTTTTGCCACTACAGCGTGATATGACTTATGAATGGATCTGCCTTATCTCTGTTCTTAATCTTTTTTTGTATCTTACCACCAGGGCAGCTTGTTTTGCCAGAGTGCTATCATAGTGCTGTCAGTTTGAGATCCCTGTCAGACTGTGATTGTGCGAGGGTGTGCATGCCAGCATTATGTATGGCAGAAGACTTCAATGGGACAGTAAGTGGAAGTTCGAGTGCTAACCTCCGTCAGAAAGAGGAAGAAGATTTTGTCGTTGGAAAGGACTGGATGTGATGCAACGCGCAGCAAGAAGTTTTCCAGGCCGACTCTCCGTCGCTCAACAAAGTCTGGGTCGAGGTTATCTGCTGACAGCTTGTGCCACACAAACTCCGCCTACAAAAAGGCACAATTCAAGGAGTAAAACAGAAAAAGTGACAAAAACACAAGGGCGTATATCTCCTACTAGGAAGAAACTGAGAGCAAACTAAGTCAGACTGATTAAATGTCATTAACCAACAACAGAGGAAGTAGTATGAAGTCATCAATCACAGGGTGTCACTCACCCTTTTCTCTGGTAGTGGAGGGATGATGATGTAAGGGTAGGTGACCAGGAGGTACATCCTGAGCAGCTCAAACTCGCTGTAGCGTCTCCACAAAGTGTCGGGCGTGGCAGGCGTACCCCCCTCTGGGACAGATTCAGCTGGCCTGCAGACAGACAAATTGGAATAAACAGTATTTTTGTTACACAGAAGTGTAAAGACACTGGAGCTACTGTTGTTCAACGTGACGCACAATGAGTCACTTTGACTTTGCCAACTGCCTGTCCTGAGAATGGGAAGGAGATAAATAATCTTGTCAGAGGCATTGTGATTAGCTTTTTCAGCACCTATGGACACAACTCACAGTAACAGTAACAAGGTCTAACAAGGTAGTTAGGCAATCAGTGCCAGCTTTTCTCCTCCTTGATCTTGTTCCGCTTAACTGGATTAAATAAGCAACCTTAATAAGTGTACAAGTCTTTATTCTACCCACTGAGAAAGGCTTTGCGCTGTGCACCGTTACGGAACTTTAAGTTATGGACAAACACTGTAACATCAAAATTACAGCTGCAGTTAGCATATTTTGTCAAGGTATAACAATATTGTCATGTCAAAAAGCTAATATCTAGCATTAAAATCCAATAAAATAAGATACCCAGAGCTTCACAGTCCTGTTGATGCTGCCAAACTACATCCTTTCAATGAAGCATATGGCTTCATAAGGACACAGTGAAATAAAGTTGTGCACAAGAAAGCAAATATGTCCTGTAGGTGTCCACTCTTCTTGTCATATTGATGTGTGCATATGCTGTAACTGAGGATCCAGTTATATGTATATATATAGGTATTATGTATAGTGAGAGGGTATAGTTATATGAGGGTAGAGAAGTGACGAAGCGAGCGAACCTGCCGGTGCTAGTGAGAACGAGTATAGGTTTCCTGCATGTTAACGGTGTTCTTCCCTGTTCTCTTCTCCGCCTCCGCCACATTTATCTCCATTTTCCTCAACAGAGCTGTCCCTCTCTCCACCATCTACACAGACACAAACACAAACACAGTTATTGACAGGAAAAACATAAAAGGTACGTGACAGATATAAGATGGAGGTGCAGGGAAAGAGTGTGGTTCGATCTTCCACTCAAGTTGTATTATATAGTAATCGATTGTATTGTAAACACAGTGTGTGCACACAGAGGGGCAGGCGGCTCATGTTAGACTGAACATACAGTAACACTGGGCTTCTTTACACAGGGAAATGACAGGAGTGTGCAGGTCACAAGACAAGATAGTAACATTATTACTGTACCGCCAAAGAACTACTAAATAACTACTCGTTGCTTGTGAATGCGGAAATTGACCCCATTCTCACAAGAAACCAGTGTAATGAAGACACAACGAGGACTTGTGTTTTAAACCTGCTAAACTAAACTTTAGGCTTACTGTTTAGACTTGCTAGCTCGCAAGCTAACGTCAGGAGAAAAGTTTACAAGGTAGCTTCGAAGCCACTTTTAATTAACTCGTTAGATAACTTTGTAAATAGTTACATGCAGCTTTGAAGCCAGCCAGGTTAACATGCCCCCTCCTCAAACAAATGCCTTTTTGAAACGCTCCATGATACATTATGACACAAACTTAGCTAACGTGAACTGACTGATGCATTAGGCCTGCTGGGGAAAGTTTTCACTCGTGCAATCAGCCTTTTAAAGCCCACAAATGTTTGCCATAGAGACCAACAGAGAGTACGACCGTGTTTATGATGTTGTTTTCGGATTCCGCTGAAGTGATATCGGTGTTACAGATCACAGCTACTTCTTCGCCACTTGCAGAGTCTGCCATCATCCTCTTCGGTTGTCAGCTGAGCTGGCAGGGCAGTAGTTTCCTCTGCTCTGCGCATGCGCGTTCCAGGCTGAGGCCAGAGGGTCTGTGGCCAGTTTTATTTTTTTTTATACTGACTAATCTAATGGCGTTAAATGATCAGTGTTCGTCAGATCATAAAGGACTTGACGAATTAAAATAAATAATAACGTATGAGATAAAGCAAAAAAATAATGATAAAGATTAAATGAGTAAAAATGACATTTAATCAGAATCATCTGGCATTAGTTTAATTTTGTGATGTACTTAATGTAAAAATGCAGCTAGAGGTAAGTAATAAGACGTTCAGTTTGTACTGAAATTGCTCCGGTGGACAATTTTCTATTCAGCACAACTAAATCGTAATTCCCCTCTGTTTATGTGCAGGTATTACAAAATCCATAGTGGAAATGATGATGGTTCAAACTGGTGCACGTTTGAAGGCGTTCAGTTAATGGTTTCTGAAAGTTTCCATGCAGTTGTGCTGAACTAGTGAACCCATTACCCTCCTTTGGCATCATTTGCATCCTCATTTGATGGTTTTCTTTGCCAATGCTGACATCTACTGGTGGGATTTTGTTTGGGGATTTGTTTATTTCCATTTTATCCCCATTTTGTTGGCAACTTTGGAGAAAAAAAATATGACCCTTGAATATTTGTGAAATTACCATTACCAATTGATTTAGATGGCAGATCTCAAGTAAATATTTTACCCACTGAATGATTACCAAATAGTTAGGAGGAGGCAGTACTTGTGTCCATGGACCTAAACAGTGATACTAGATTAATACCTGAACATGCTGTGAGATTATACCATACATTTAAAAAAAACAACACAAATGCAAATTTTATGGCTGTTTATCATTGCTGACATTTTGTTCGACAATGAAATTCTGACAAAAAGTGCCGTAAGTGATGAATTTCCTCACTGTGGTGATATCATTTGGTCCCCCTCTCATTGGTTGTAGATAGTTGTGGGCCCAGATGTGAATGAGAGGGATGCGGTATGCCTCAGGCTAGTAAACAGCACAGAAACACGGCCTTTTAGTTCCTGTGGTCACGCTGTTGTGCAGCGTTTAATGTTTAAAGAGAAGGGTGGAGCAGCATTTAGTAAGGAAGCATTTTATATAGATGCCACTGGGCATGGAGTGGGGTGTTGGAGTGTTGTGGGATGCTGGGTGGATGAAAAAGAGAAAGAGAGAGAAGCGAAGCAATGCACTCAAGGGGAGAGAAGGTATAAAGGTGAGATGGATTAACATAATGATTGATTGTAAAATGATCAATGACACAGAAGCTGCAGATTTGGACGGATGGATGGAGTGATGGTGGGATGCGGTTTCAGGCTGCAGCGTGTCAGGAAACCCAAAGCCTGCGCTGTGACCAGCCGTAGTCACAGCAACAGCATAGTTACCATTCTTTCCTGCCACTGACCTCAAACCAGCCACCGCCACTTCCTGTCCGCACACACGGGCAAGCAAACACACACATATGCACACGTGCACACACCTCTAGCCCTTTTTGGCTGACTGTAATCGGCCATTTGACAACTTTTTAAAGCCCTCTGACAAACACTCTAAAACACTAAGCTACTATAATATATATATAGTGTGTCTGTGTGTGCGTGTGTGTGTGTGTTCCTGTCTTGTCTATATTTGGAAGTTCTGACCTAAAGCTGCTGAGTGACTATAATTTAGATGAGTATGTGTATATTGAGTCATGGTCAACATTTTTAGAGACAAACAGGTATATTACTGGTAATTGTTGTTGATAATAATGATCAAATGGATATTGGCAAAATACTATTTTAAAAATAGAAAAACGGTTGGTATTACAAATTATTTTCAAATATGAATGTGCTTGTTCAATGAGTGTTTTCAGGCTTGTTGCCTAGAAAAAAACCTCTTTAGTTCAGGTTTATTTGACTTTATCTGTAATTCAAATGAATTTTTGAAGTTCAACTGTTGAGCAGCAGAGGGTAGCAAACATCCAGTAATGTCGAACAAGCTATGGTGCATCAGATGAGAATCAGTGTCAGTATGCACAGTGCTACCGGTGCTACGTGATGAGGTTGGGCACACTGTAATATGAGTATGAAATAATGTTTCTTTTACAGGAGACATTTCAACTTGACGTAGCAGTAAAAGAAAAGGTGAATAACAATAACGATAGATCGGTTCAATTCAAGTGTGCCAGTAAACTACAACAGTGTGACAGTGAGCCAGCATGAAAGAAAAATAGGACCTTGAAACTGAAGCAGGATAATGGAATTCAGCCATTATTAATTAACTTTTCCTACTGTGACATCAAAATACCTTTCCTGAAAAAGGCCTACGGCTACTACTAATGTGTTATTATATATTATTTAAATGCTGGACACAATCCGGCAATAAGATCTACTGTAAAATTTGATAATTTTCAAAGTATTGCACTATAAACAATATTCAACAATTGTATTAATGTGTAAAATTAACATTACTGTGTATAAATGTGGATAGTGTATATATAGCTATTCCACACACTCATCCCATGGGTTCACTTGTTCATATACTATTCCAGAGTTGTGGATATGTACAAGTATTGCAGTATTATTGAGTATTCTACAAATGAGTATGCTGTATTTAGGGTGTGTATGTGTGTGTGTGTGTGTTGGATTGTATGTGTCGATTTTGCAATTTAATGTCTGAAAAAGGAAAAATTGCATCAAATGTTAATATTTATTTGGTCAGAGGTTGAGTCTCATTACTGCTGATTAGCACCTTTCGGTCTTTGCATATCTCTGGAGCCAGTTTTCAGGGGCAAATATCAACACTACACAAGTACATTCATGCCTTCTCCTTGTGACCAGTCAATCTGCCATGTAAAGTTATTTGTTTTTAGATCAGAATTTTTTCGGATAATTTCTAAATAATGTCATCATTACTTTAGATACATTCAAATATGTGATTTGTATCAGATATCTGGTTTATAGGAAGTTTTAGAAAGTTGCGCTTTGTATGCGTGTTTATGTGTGTATGTGTGTGCATGCTGCCTACAAGGCTGGTCACGAAGGTCATAAAGAGGAAGTCCTTGCGGTCAGTATAAAGGAACACATGTTTTGCTTCATGTCATAGTCTCCGTCCTTCATTTTCCTCTCCTTCATCCATCTATTCTTGCCTTTGACAGTGGTGGAAAACTCATACAGTGTGTCCTGTGGGCCTGTATTTGTGTGGGTGAGCCTGTATGGTATATACATGTGTATGAAATGCCATAATGAAGTAAAGTCTCGTTGGTTCTGAGTTATATTGTTTATTTTTACCTTGTTATGAGAATGTCCATTTTCCCATTGATGGTAAATACAGTGCAGTCATTCTTGCTGAGGTCGTCTGCACTTGGGATTACCTACAATTAAAGAAAACATTTGTATCTTTTTCATCTTCTTCATGATGCTGTTTAAATAAATCCTATTTTAACAGTTCATAACGTTGTTATTATGTAAGTGCATTTCACACAAACTGACCTCTTTCTAACGTCCACCAACATTTAGATCAATAAACAAATAATATTTAAAATTATTATTTAATAGTTTTCCATATTTCTACCCTTATAGCAGCAAGTTTGTGATACGTAAATTAGAAGAAATCCACACAATGCTCATAGTTTCACATTCTAAACTGAGACATAAGAGGACAGATCATACATCTTTTTAATTATTAGAAGCTTTACTTCTGTTTAAATACTTGTAATACATTCAACATTGCTTTAAAAATATCTTCTTTCCTAATTTCTACTACACATTTTAAAAAACTTTCCCCAGTTTTCTCTCTCCCATCCATCACCAGGGTGTTGACAAATTAAGACATGCAAGTCTCATTGAACGCTTCTCTGCATGAGTGATGCTGCTCTCCAACAAGCTTACACATGCACACTTGCATGTGTACGCATTTACTGTACTGTATATGGGCACTTAGTCTCACACACACACATGCAAACACACATGCAGAGTGTGAGCAATGCAGTATAATAAGCAGCGTGGCAGCAATGTGGTCAGCTTTGCCCCATGTGCAATCGTTGAGAAGCCACATGAAGGCTTCTGGGTATTAAAGGACAAGCCTTGGTTGGCTGGGAGGGAATCTGTCATGCAACAAGAAAACTGTGTTTTTCACCCTTTTTTCCCTCTTTCATTTCTTCTCAATCCCTTTTTTTTACCCCTCTTCCCAAGTTCTGTCTTTCACCAAATTCTCTCTCTCGCTCTGCCCACTTTTTTTTCCTCCTCCTTCATTTCTTTCATTCTGTGGCATATTAGACTCAGTTGTAATACTCTCCAGCTTAAAATGCTTAGACCACTGGAATGTTCCGTCAAAGAGGTGGGCGGACCCGGGGGGCGGGACAGACCAGCATAACCAATTAAGGAGGAGATTGAGGTAAGACAGACAGCTTCTAAATGGTGTAATAACAACCTACTAAAATGTAATTACAATGCAATAGCAATAGACACTTCTAATGACAGGATGTATATGCCAATGTGATTTCCTAATTATGGCCTTTGCATAATGGGTGACTGTTAACATGGCGTGGAGATTATAGAGAGGTGTCTGAATGCAAAAATTCAACCACAGGGACTTGTAACAGTGTTGAAGGGCATAATGGCCACTCAGAAGTCCTGCCAGGTATTGATCACAATAGGTAGGTTAGGATGTTTGAGAGGGAGTCTGAGAGTGAATGAGTTAGTTAGTGTGAGCTTGAGTGCCACCTATCCATTTGTCTATTCATGTGTCCATCCCAGTCAATGTTTTTAATTGTCTAACAAGACTATCTTGTTATTGATTCAGGTTTTTGCTTTAAGTTTGACCTATTCCTCTGTCGGTCCAATTTCCTTCCTCACAAAGCGCTCATGTCCATCCACTGTCCATCTGTCTTTCAGTCTGTCTACATGTGATGCTGCCATCCATCTGTCCATCCATCCATCTATCCCTCCATCCATCCTTCCATCTCTAACAAGAGGAGTGGATGGTGGCGTCCATTATTACAGAGCATCCCAGAATAGAGTCTCGTTTTATTACAAGTCCCTCTGGTCGTCGTGGCTACCCAAATTACAGGCCAGGCTTCTCACACATAAAAA